TTATATCAATCTTTCTCGATCTGTACAAATGCAAGAAAAAAGGCAATTGCAGTTTAATGGGCAGGAAAAGATCCACAAATGTTAAGCTAAAAAGTACAGGAACCGTACGACAGACCTCCATCGCCACACGTATCGATTTCGCCAGCATAAACTTCTCCATAGAGCATGAAGTAGGGCTTGTACAAGACATTGCGCAAAAGCAACCAATGCCAACTCTCGTCTGGGTAAGTGATCGACTGACGCGCCAGGCCAAATGCCATCATCGAGACAAAAAGCAAAACGATGATGTATGTCATATTCTGGATCTGAAAGCAATACAACTGTAGTAATTTTTTTTTTTTTTTTTATCTGAAGCGATATCGTTATTTATCAAAATCTTAATTTCAAATCCACTACTTCAACATCATATATTTCTTTGTCAGAAATATTCTACATCTCCGTCTATAAATTTTAAACTTTTTTGCATTTTTCAAAATTTTCAATAATCTGAAAAAAGTTTTAACTTTTTTTACCATAAAGTTAACCAAGTTTCAGTACTTACATTACTACTTATCTCCCTTAACACTCTGTTCATTACTAACATGCATTAAACAATTAATTTAACCCTAACTTTCGTTAACTTCAATTACCACTCGTCGTGCTGACAAGGTTCAGTCATAGTAACGGTGAGAAATGTATAAGACTTAATGGACCGAAACACTTCTTAACAATTATATACAATTTTTCTAATTTTCATTTTTCACCTTCCTTGTCCTTTTTTCGCTTTTTTTTTCATTCTTTTCTATTATATGAACTTACAAACATACGGGTCTGTAACTTCAAAATCTCAAGCCGAAATTTTATGTTTAAGAAACTATTAATCCCAAATCAGAATCCCACAGTTAAAACTTAGTAAAAGTAATTCAAAACAGCTCGCAAAAAATTCAAATCCAAAACACTTACCATTTTTCCGGCCATAGTAATGTAAGGGCCCATACGAGGATGCACACTTACAAAATCCAGCAATTTGATGGACCAGAACACAGAATTACACGCCAAAATAACTCTTCCTGCGGCCCTAAATACGGAAATTTTTATTTTGGATACTTTTTTCTTTTGAAAAAATCAGAATTCACTGAAAAAGTCTACTGGTATTATATTTACCTTATGGACGCATGTTCGGCGTCCAATCGCAATCCAAATCCAATAAAATATGTAACAATTGCTACAGTTGTCAATATATTCCACATTATGTTGAAAAAGTATTTCACTTTTTGGGCGATCGATTCCGGTTCCGACATCATGAACTGAAGAAATTATCGCATGATTAAATAAATTCTAAGAGAAATTAACTAGTGGCAAAGTGGAAAGTAAAAAAAAAAACTTACTGTAGCAGTAAGAACTTACTTTTCGTAAATGTTCCAGTGCAAATGCGACCACATAAGCGAAAACGAACCACTCCAGCCAGGTTGGCCGGACGGGTGTCCTGATCAGCAATGTGTACGCAAAACAACCCAGGAATATACAGAACAAGATTGTCCACGCCCAAAATGTGGTAATTGGCGCCACGTAGAATTCATACAACTTGCGACGCAGCTTTATCGGTCTCTAAAGCAAATCTTTCAATCTGTGATTAGTAAGTGAAATCAATTTTGAAAAAAGAAAAATAGTAAGTCATAACTTTGGTCAAATTTCTATGGCAATATTGGTAATAATTTCCAGTGATCAAGCAAGAATTACAGGGTACCCTATGTTCCTCACAATAGCAAAATAAGCTTTTCACTATTAGACTTGGTTGTAAGTAGCATTGCTATTATGCAGAGATTTCGAGAGTTCAATCCGACCCCACTAGTAGGACAATCAGTCCCTCTATGTTTCTTTCATTCGTTTCAATGCTACCACGTGTACATGCCCAAGGGGTCGAAATCTTCACCTGTTGTTTCAAAGTAACCATCGATGACAAAGAGCCAAAAGCAGACCTGTCAAAAGGTGAACAGCCTAACTCGTACTACAAAAACTTATTGGAATACTTTTAAATAACTTTGCCGTCACAGAGGATGTAATATGCCGGTTCTGGGTATTCTTTTTTGATTTTCAACGCTGATCACTTCAAATTTTAAACAGCGTAAACCAGAAAGTAAAGTTTAATCAATCACGTAGCGACGGTAGGGGCAAAAAGCGGGCCGTTGGGT